GTCTCCAGCACCTAGCACAGTGCCTTGAACGTAACTAACTGGATATGTGTTGAGTGTTTGAATGTATATAAGCAACAGGAGGCCCTCAAAGGTAGGGAACTGTGTCTTTGACTTTTCTCCAATTTCCCAGAACACTTATTTTCATGTTAGTACTGAATAAATAGCTGTCAATGAAGTTAAAATTATATTATCAGAATTATATTTTCATTGGGCTACTTTACAGAAAGGATAGAAGGGAAAAGTACTGTGACTGACTAGAAAGAAAGCCCCATTTCCACTTATTATAGAAATTTGCCGTACTTTCCAATGCTGCTTTTTTCCTCAGAAAACAGTTTATAATTTTTTCAAAAAATATTTAATTAAATATGGCTACAATGGATCATTGGAAATGGTTACTTATGGCTGTTATATCTAGTAAATAGATATTCCTTTGATAAGCACATCTGTGTGTTTTAAATTGCTTTTTATTTATATTTTAAGCCAAAATCATACAATTACATGATTCTAATTTATTATATGTAAAAATGACTTGACAGAGTAGTCCAGCTAGAAGTTCAGCTTCAAAACCATGGTCTTGTAATTTATTTATTTGTTTTGGTGTTCTTGTGATTTGCATGGCAAGATACCTCATTGCACATTTGCAATAGTCATAGGATAGTTACTATTAGTATTGGTTTTTCTTTATGGAAAGAGATCTTAGGGGTATTTTTATGTGTACCTCCTCATGAACCTTGCTAATCACTGAAATACAGATTTAAAGAAGGATAAGACATCTCTTTTATTCCTGTTTACTGTCTCCACTTTATTTTCCCTCTCGGATTTTGATTTTCAGTGCTCTCAACTAGTTCTCTCCACCTTTTATTTTAGTGTGGAATGTAACAATCAGTGATAAGGAAGAGAATGAGGTATCATAGTTAATTGTTAAAGGCATGTTCTAATTATTAATTTTTAACTCAGTTTCAAAGTCTTTTATAAACATTATAATTTTATAGTGAAAAGAGCTGTTCACCGTTATTGTTAGTTACTAAAAATTCCCACATTTATAACCCTCAAAACCCCAGATATTTTATATGTCCTAGGTCTTCAATATTTTAATATTTAAATCCCTGTTATTTAATTTAAAAGTAATCAATGATGTTATCTCTAAAAATATACAAAGATACTTTGTAACTTTAGGACTCGTTTACCTTTAACCAGCACCACGTATGGTAGATCTATTTACCAGTTTTCTTCAATAGGTTTAGTTTCCAAATGTGTGAATCCAAAATAGTTGTTCTTTTGGAATAAGCCAATGATTTATTTAATGCTTCTCTATGTTGTGTATTGTAAAGAGAAATAGCTTCTCAATGCGTATAATGTGGGTTTATTGGAGACCGAACGATTTCCCTCTGCAAGGACTGTATTATGTTGTTTTACAAAATGCTTTCTTGCACCATTCATGCTAACTAAAGTGTGAATTTAAACACAGAAGTGTCTAGTACATTTTCTTTCCTTGCATAGGAATCGTTTTTTAAATTTGGAAATGTACCATTAACTCATTTATAAAATATCTCATTTCATTTTTGAGGAAATCAAGTTGGAATGCCAGTCATACAGTAGTATGTAAGAGGAACGGTAAATGGCATTAAGGCATGCACTTAAGCAATAGAGGAATTTACTTTTCAGTGTCTTCCAAGGTCCATGAGGATGCATACTTATTTACCCAGAGAGTATGGATCTCACTATGTTTGTCCAGAGATGTGACTGTGGAGCAGAACACTTACTGGTAAGTATCAAGCTCTTACTGTAATATGTTTCAGAAAAATATGTTTAGAATCAATTGATTTTTAGCAGTGATAAAATCTCTTAGTCTGTGCTGGTTTCTTAACAGTGGACAGTCCCAGATGTTGAAGTCAGCACAACAAGAGAAAAAGCCAAATCCTGATAAGACTTGAGGATTTTTCGAAAATTAAATGCAAAATAGTTGGGGCAAATGTTGCTGCGGGAGTCAAGACTAAGTAATACAGTAAGAAGATATGAAGTTGGAGAGCTTCTCATGTTCTTCTTTTGCATAAAGTTTGCATACGTACAAAACCCGGGACTTTAATGACTTTAAGAGGGGGCAGAATTACGTCTCTTGGAACATAAACCGGCAGACTCACGTGAACCAGAATGTGCATTGTGGCCCTCCCAATTTATTTTAATATTTCTTTGCAAAGTACTCTTTGTTTCTGAATAAAAGCTGTGCCTTCTGAAACCTGTAAGTGATGTATGCTGGCCACATCAAATCCTTTAAAAGTGTTTTCCAAGTCCAAAATTGTTAGTGTGGAACAAATGTTTGTTTTGGACACAGTAAAACAAGGGGATATGGGAGGGCTGATTTCAGAGACCAGGTGCCGCTTCTGCTTTGCTCCTTATCATTCCTTCTCTTTTTCTTTCAGCCAAGAACTCTTAAGACATGTAATTGACTATTGGTTGAAAAAACTTGTAAAATAATGTTTCTGTGTGTGATACAAAAGCTCAAAACAAAAATCAGCCACCCTAATGTGTGGTGGCTTTTCTGGGAATTAACCAAACCACGTAAACCTTTGCCACAGAAAAACCACTGGAGCTCCCACACTGCCCCACGAAGGCTTAGGGTCAATTTCAGCCTTGCCTTAATCCATGATGAATGCAAGTGCAGAACCCATAAGAATTCAGTGCGTAGCTTTGGCATCAGGCAGACAAAAGTTAAGTCTTAGAGTTGCCAGTTACTAAGCTCGCTGGACTTCACCAAAATACTTGACGACTTTGATTCTGTTCTTCTGCTGTAGAATGACATGTTATCTCCTAGCACGATGACTGGCAGTGGTCCCACCGTGCTGAATCAGGGAGTCTGGGCACATGGTTTGAATCATGGTTACAGAGATGCTGGAGTAGAAGATGGCAGGAACATGTCCTTATTGACATGATAGAAAGAGGGCTGAGGATGCATTTCTATGTGGTCCGTGTTTGCTTTGCCTTCTGTCTAATTCTGCCAATCCCTAATCTTTAGGACTCACCTCAAAATCTCTTGAAGCTACTTTTTAGGAGATGTGGACAATGTGTGTGAAGGGAGAGAGCATCAGGAGCAGAAAGTTTAGGTCAAAGGGTAAGAGATATTCAGTCATCCAGCAATTACTTACTGAATGCCTACTGTGTGCTAGGAGCTGGGGATACAGTCGTGAACAAAACAGACAGAAGTTCTTGCAATCATGAAGCTTATGTTCTAGATGTAAGAGACAGACCATAAACAAATGAATGTGTTGGATGTCGGATGATGGAGATAATAAACCTGTAAAGGGGGTGGTGAGAGCTGAGGCAAGGGAGTGGCTTTCAATTTAAAATAGAGTCATCAGGGAGGGGCTCGTTGGAAAGGTGATATTTGAGTAGAGGCTGGAAAGAAATCGGAGCCAACCATGTGGAAATCTGAGAAAAGGGGGAATTGGGAACAGATTTTACAAGTCCTTGTTGGCCTTTTCCTTTGAGTGGGAGGGAAAGCCATTGGAGAGTTTTGAGCAGAAAAGTGTCATGATCTTGCTTATTTTTTATAAGACTCTCTCTGGCTGCTATGTAGAGAATAGATAGTAGAGGGGCAGTGATGGAATCAGGGACTAGTTAACGGTTATTGGAATAATTGAGGCTGGAAATGATGATGGCTTCGATCAGGGTAGTAGTGATGGAAGTAATAAGTGCTCAGATTCTGGATTAGGATTGATTGGTCGTTTGATTGTGGTGAGTAGGGACTGAGAGCTGAGTTAAGGATGACCCCAAAGTTTTTGGGCTGACAACTGGAAGGCCAGAGTTGTCATTTACTGTTTACAGCGATGAGGGTTGGAGGAGGAGCAGGTTCTGGAGAGAGATCAGTTGAGGTGTGGACAAGATGAGATTCCTAGTAGATAGCCTCGTGTAGAGAGGAGACAGTTGGATGTACAATGGTCAATATTTAAATGCTCAGTTTGCACAAGTTGGTAAGTCATAAAAATTCTGTTTAAATTATTTAAATCTCTAAGAAGAAGGTATTATAATTCACATTTTATATATTAGGAGATAATGCAGAAAGATTAATTTTCTTAAGATCACAGATATGAAACTTTGTTTTATGGCTGTAAGTTCCACATTGTTCTATTAACTTTACTATATTATTGTAAAATAAGCATTCAAAGGAAATTCTCATAATTGCCATAATTGATTAAACAGAGTAATACTTTTAGCTACCTTTACATTACACCCACATATACTCTCTCTCTCTCTCTTCTAGAGAAGTATAGGTAATATCTTTGATGAGGTTTATAAGAAAGATTTTTTTTTTATTTTTTTGATGTGTTGAAAACTAATATTCTCATGTAGGCTTTAATTTTGAATATACATTTAAAAATTTTTTAAATGGTGAATGGAGATGGCTATGAATATAATTTTTAAAAACATATTCTTATATTTAAAAAATTCCTTCTTTTAAAAAGAATTTACTTCATGGTAATTTATTTCATGGTAATTTATGTTCTTGTCAGTTGTTTAAAGGAGAAGATACATTTGCACAGTCTTAAGTGTATTCCTTTTTTATAGTAGAATGTTCATTTTTTGAAGCAAAAATACAAGTGATGAAAACACATGTGATTGAGCTTTGACATTATTGTTCTAGGTAGGATGGCAAACTGTACAATGCAAATAGAATAGAAATTGAAATCTATCAAAACTGCCTATTCTATTATTTAAAGGTTTATGTACTTTTATAATTTTCATTCAATAAAGGAATGGAATGCTATTTTATTTTATAAATTCCTAAGACATTTAAACTTTATGTGGTCTCATGAGTTAAATGATCAAGAGCAGATTAATGTAGTTTTCTTAAATAAAGTAATGAGGAAGTACATATCCTTAAAGGTCATACATAGTTATTTTGTGGAATATGACTATGTTTGGGTTCTATGACCTTGGATTTTTAAAAGTTATAATTTCTGATCTCTCATCTATGTAATAGCAAACTCTTTCTGATTGTACAGGAAGTCCTGCATGTTGCAGGAGTGGAGATGCAGTTAACGGCGGCGGTATCATTTTTGACCATTCTACAGGAAGAATCAGTGTCCATTCATACATATGCCCACTCTTTCCTCCAAGTAATTCTACTACATCTGGAGCACAGGGACACAGGTCAGGGGCCTGACATGCTTAATTATATATTTATTTATTGTTTCTTCTATGTGGCCGTGAAGTTATGTGAATCTTGTTAGCCTGATAAGGATAACCGAATGAGGCCATGCTGCCCAAGAGTTGATCTTTAGTATGACTGAAAATAGCCATGTCTGTTTCCTTACAAAACCTGCAAAATTCAGTATCCTTGAAAGCTGAAGACCTATTAGTTCCTCTTATGATTTATACTTTTTTTCTTAGATTTTTATTTACATTTATGTTTATAGTATTATTGTACAGCAAAAAAATGCACACTTTGGGTTAAAGATATCTCCCCAATGTTATTTTTAAAGATATAAATGTTTTCTAGAAGTTGGCCAAGATAAAAAATAGAGAAATTTCTGACGATAGTATCAAAAATAACTATTCCCATTTTGTCATTAAAGACTGTTATAAATATTAATGGCTGAGTTGAAACTAAATTTGTAAGGGAGACATTTAATTTGGCATGTTTTATCTGTGTCAATCAGGTGTCAGCAACGCGTGGCTGGAAACTCTTCTGTCTGTGATAGAAGTGTTGCCCAAAGAAACCCTAAGGCATGAGGTAATACATTTTTTTTTTTTTTTGTAAATAGTAATAAGTAAGTCACTCTAAGGTTTTTTTAATTTTGTTTTTGGTAAAAACGGTATTTTAAAAAAGAATAAAGTTATTTCCCCACTCTGAAAGCAACACATGTTCATTGTAGAAAATTTGAGTAATACAGAAAATAGTAGGAAGAAAAATCATGGTTCTGTACTTTGCCACTTTTAACATTCTGATATATTTTCAGTTTAGATTTTTTTCCCTGTATATAGTTGCTGTTTGCCGTATTGGTGATCATATTGAATTTATATATGGTTGTTTTTAACTTAGCATTATTTTCCTATGTTGTTATAAACTTATTTGGTACTAAACTTATTTGTAGTAGGTATAAAACATTTTACTTACTTGTTAAACATTTAAGCCTGTTTTCAGTATTTTACTACCAAAATAAGGCATTAATGAACATCTCTGTAGAGCTTTTCCTGTTTTTCAAATGATTTCCTTAACTGTAGCTTCCAAAAAAATGGAATTAGAGGGCATGGATCAGAGGGTATTAGTATTCTTAAGGCTCTTGACTAGCAATATGCGAAAATGCCTGTTTTCTTGGACTTTCATCAGCATTCCAATTTAATTTGATGGGCAAAAAATGGAATTACATTTTAATTGGAGTTTTTTTTTATTATTATGCTGTTGAATATTTTTTTGTATATTTATATCAGTATTATTCATTTTTTTGGAATTGTCTGATCATATCCTTTGATCATTATTTATATGTGCTATTTATCTATCGAGGTTGCTAATCCTTTATTAAGTTTGTTGCAAATATTTTTACCAATTTGCTGTTTGCTTTTTAATTTTAATTTATATTGTTCAATATACCCTTCTCTAAAAGTTTTAGTAAATCAAGATAAGAGAATAGGAAAATAAGAAGGGAATTTTATTCTCTAATGAAATGATTTTTCATCCTTTTCACATTATTTTTATATATATTTCTTTTCAAATATGTCATGGGTAAAAAAACAGTTGTCTGTCAGTGAAATGTCCTCTGGATTTCGTGAAATGTCTTTGTCCTTTCTTTGCTCTAGTACAGTTTATGATCCTATATCAATGCCAGAATACTTGCTTGAAATGGAATGATTTACCCGGTTATAAGGATGTTTGTATACTTGATGCCAAACACGCAGATGATTACACGTATTTAAGTGTTGAATGTAATGTTGACATGTGTTACTTATATTTTTTGAAGAGTGATATGTAGTAGAATGCGGTTTTTACTCTCGAATGCCATGTATTATTTAACATGTAATTTTTAATATTTTAAATAACACTTTATTTTACTTCAGATCTTTGACTTTAAAATTATATTTATCATTATGCATTAAGTAATTCTGGCCACTTTGTTGAGAGGGAAGAAACCAGTTGACCCTTTTATTAGAGTCGTAGAATTTTAGAACGTGGAGGGATCTTAGTATGACATATTCTAATTTTCATTTTAAGTAGACAGAAACCTTGGGATGAGGAATAGCAAGATTACTTGGACAAATTAAAGAGCTGAGACCAGAATCAAATCTGATCTTCGTAGTTCTTTAGTCTTCCATGCTGTTGAGGTTTTGAGTGTCCAGCATATACAGAACACAGTGTCAGACTGGACACTGTATTTGCTGTATTCAAATGACAGAATTACTTAATACAATCTATTTGAAGCTATAGTGTTTTGCATCCCTTTAGGATAAATATGAAAATTAATCTATATGGAATAAAAATGAGTTTCAGGGTGTCTGTTACTTAATTTGCTTTTTTCTTTTGAAAATGTGTATTTCACAATTATACTTTATGTGCACGCAGATCATTGCAGAGTTCACCATAAACTTTAATTGAAATTTTTTGTGCCTGATTGTTTTTAATTACATAATTTATCAGTATCTTTACCTTAATAACCCAGAAAACAAACAAGGTGATCCAGATTATGAACAACCATGCACCTCAAGTTATAATTCAGGTTCTTTTAAAACATTTAGTACATTAAAATATTCTTTGAGGAAAATAGCCGACATTAGTGGCAAAAATATATAAAAATTTGTTAATTTGTTCTTTAAATCTTTTTTCTTTAGATTTTGAATCCACTTGTTTCTAAGGCACAACTTTCCCAAACAGTCCAGTCTCGTTTAGTTAGTTGTAAAATTTTAGGAAAATTGACCAACAAATTTGATGCCCATACGTGAGTATTTGTATATAATTTTTTGTCTACTTTTTTCAATTAAGTTGATTTAAAATGTATAATGACTATATGATTAGCAATTATATTAGATTTGTTTATTCCATACTGCATACAAGTTTAGCTGTTTTAACTTTATAGAATATAGAATTCTCAGAAGTCTACTTATGCAGATGCTTTTCTTCTTCATCTCGTGGCTTTTCAAAATCAATAAGGTTAACTTTTTTCTATTTTCCGTCTTAGTCTTCTGTGTGACATATCTACTGTAGTTTTGAGGATAAAATGGTATTATCTTATAGACTTCAAAAATTGGTGATCATGACATAAAGATGTCATGCTTTCTGCTTTCTTCTGTGTTATGAATTCATTATTTTGAATAATTTATCTTATTTTGAGGTTTTATGGAGAATGTTTATGATTCATATGCTACTCTCTGCCCAGATGATAAATAACAAATGGAAAGAATGGAATGTTGTATAATTATGACATAAGAGTAAAATATAAAATTGAAGAATATTTTGGTTGATGGTTGCTGGAATCAGATATTCCACTTACATACAGCCTTTTATCTTAGCTAAGAGGTTTAACTGCCAATCCAAAATCAACCATTATTTTAAAAAGACCCAGTGACATATATAATTTACAAGCAGCTGATGATAACATCTAAATGTAATAACATATGTAAAAATACATTGTAAACTATAAAGCTTTGTGTTAAAGTATTTTTGTTATTATTAAGCTAAGCTAAGATTTTGATGGTAGTTGTTTGAAAATAATAATTATTCTAAAACACTCATTCATTTGCATGTTTCTTTCCTCTCCTTCTAAGTATTAAAAGAGAAATACTTCCCCTGGTAAAATCACTCTGTCAAGATGTAGAATATGAAGTTCGATCTTGTATGTGTCGACAATTAGAAAATATAGCTCAGGGCGTTGGGTAAGTATACTTTCAACGTGACAACTTACGTCACATTTTTGATTCTGGATTGTCAGACATGCAGATCCTCTTCCTGTATTCTGTGAAAGCATGCTACTGAAGGGCTAAACTTTATATGATGTTTGAAAATGGTCGTAGCAACAAGTACCTCCTGATGTGTCTGGATTAAAAGAGATAAAAGTGAAGATGCTTAGCATGGTGGTAGGCATTCAGTTAATGTTAATTTTTTTCCTTGTCACCTTAAGTTGCTTAGTTATCATCCCAAATGCCTAGATCCAGGAAGGGAAAATGTCCCAATACAGTAATCCCCCCTTATCCATGGTTTCATTGTATGTGGTTTCAGTTACCCGCAGTCGACCATGGTCTGAAAATATTAAATGGAAAATTCTAGAAATAAATAATTCATAAGTTTTAAATTGCCTGCCGTTCTGAGTAGCGTGATAAAATCTCGTGCCGTCCTGCTCCATTCTGCCTGGGGTGTGATCATCCCTTTGTCCAGCGTATCCACACTGTATATACTACCCGTTTGTTAGGCACTTAGTAGCTATTTGGGTTATCAGATCGACTATTTTGGTATCACAGTGCTTCAGTTCAAGTAACCCTTATTTACTTAATAACGGCCCTAAAGCCAACTTTATTATTAGTTACTGTTGTTGATCTCTTATTGTGCCTAATTTATAAATTAAACTTTATCATAGGTACGTATGTATAGGAAAAAGCATAGTATGTAAAGGGTTTGGAACTATGCACGATTTCAGGCATCCACTGGGGGTCTTGGAACATATCCCCTGCAGATAAGGGGAGACTGCTGTAGAAACCATGCTTGGACTATGGCTGTAGCATTTCTTTTGGCCGACAGCTGTATTATGGGGTCATTTCAGATGGAATTACTCAGTGGAAGTCTTTCTTTGTTTCCCTTGCAACTCTGTGCTTCCACTATCTGCTTTGGTGCTCTCCTTACCCTTTGGGTACTAAATCTCAGGAAGGACAGCAGGCATAGAGCAGACAGTCTCTTCTCTTCACCCATAGAAACTGATCTCATGTTAAGATGTAAGTATGGTATTAAAGGGAGTTTTATCTAAAAACCATCTTGGGAAATAGTTTTTTTCTTTCTAAGGATCCTAAATTGGTACAAAAAACATTGGAACCTCTCATTTTTAATAGAAGTTGCGCTGATTTCACCTGGTTCTTTGTTTCACAAGCAAGGACAATCAGGTTGTTGCTATTTGTACAATTGTTAATTTTTTAATAAATCTGGGCTAATATTTAAGGCTTTAGGAAGACTTTAGAAGCTCACACAGATTCAGGGTAGCGTTGTGTCCTCCGTCCTGTGGCCACCCTTGCTGAGTAGGTGTTAAGTGTTGTGTTGGAAGCTTGACTTCAACAGAGTAATCAATTCCTTAATTTTGATCTCAGAACCAGCTTCTCTCTGATAGGTCTTCTTAGGCTAGGCTGACTCTGGATCATTGTGGACTGTAATTAATTCAGTCTTGCCCAGATCTGTGCTCCTTAACCAAGATCAGAACCTATTAGGGGAATATACTGTTGTCTTGTTGTATTTTATTTCTTATCATCTGACATTTTGCCACTGTTAAAAATGGGTGGATCAAGTGTGTTCAAATTAGTCTCCTGAAAATTAATATAGGATTATTGTTTAAGTATTAATTTATAAAAGTAAAACTAGAAGGATCTACCTAGCTCATTAAGTTAGAATTCATTTAACAAACTAATTTACTTGATTATATGCATATTTATTTAATTTCACGTTCTTACATGCTCTTAAGAGCATAATCATAGGACTGTTGTGTTATGATGGCTGAAAACTACTAAGACCTGATTCATATTCTTTATTCTCCCTTTGATAAATACATAAAACTAAGGAGAGGTACACAGTTTTTTTCTTTGAGCATTGGAAATTAGGAAGATTGTTAAGATCTGATAGCCACCAAGAGGAATTTTCTGCAGTCAAGGCTTAGATGAAGCCCTGAGATAGGTGACAGGAATGGGGAAGAGATAACTTAAGAGATTGCTATTGATTTGATAGAGAGCAGCCACCCACTCTTGTACCGGGCGTCATGTTCTAGGGCATTTGAGAGTGAGAAGTGCTGGGGAGAGGCCCAGCACTAGTACAGACTAGGGTTTGTAATCTTGTATTTGCTGGCAGGAGAAGAATTCCTGACCACCTTAGTTTAACTAGAAATGAGCACTATTATTCATTAATAAGATGATTAATAAGATGATCAGGAAGCAAAATTGAGAGCTTCTCCTCAAGCTAGCATGTCCATATGAAATAAAAGCTGCAGAACACTAGAAAGCTAACTATGGGTTGTGTACCAGCTTGAGATCAAAGAGGACAATTCTTAGAATAATTAGATTAATAGTGAATAGTGTTGTTAAGAGGTCATACACATTCATTATAGGAAAACAACTGTACTGAATAGACCTCTCGTTGTACAGGGATGACTAAAGAGAAAAACAAACATAGGATCTACAAAAAGATCCTTCAGTGTTAGAGGGGAAGAACGTACAACACTCAGATTGGAAAGAAAGAACATACTTTTGAAAAAGTTGATGAAACTTCTAATTCTGGTGATATGGCAAACAAGATAACCTGAAAATCCTCCCATTACAATATCTGACAAAATTTGACATCCATTCATAAGAACTCTCAGGAAGCTAGGGGTGAAGGGAACTTCCTTAGTCTGATACAGAGCATGTATGAAAAACATATAGCTAACATCATACTTAATGGTAGAGATTGAATGCTTTCCCCTGAGGTAAGAACTAGGCAAGGATAGTTTTCATCACTTCTGTTCAGCACTGTACTGGAGGTTCTAGCTATTGAAATAAGGCAAGAAAACAAAAACCTAAAAAGTCTAGAGATCTGAAAGGAAGAAGTAGAATGATTTCTATTTGTAGATGGCATCACTGTTAACTATTAAAACTAATGCCTTTAAGGATGTGTCAGGATACAAGGTTAATATACAAAAATCAGTTGTGTTTTTATATACCAGCAGAAGATATTTAGGAAATGAAAATTTAAAAATTCCATTTATAATAAATTTAACAAAAGGTGTGCAAGACTTCTACACTGAAAAACTGCGGAACAGTGTTGAGAGAAATTTTAAAAAAACAGATATACACCATATTCATGGATGAGAGTACTTAATACTGTTAATGTCGTTAAAATGTCAATTCTCCCCAAATCGATCTAGCATTTCAATGCAGTCTCAACCAAAACTGGGCTGTTTTGTAGAAAAACTGATTCTAAAATTTATATGGAAATGCAGATGACCTAGAATAGCCAAAACAATCTAAAAAAAATACGAAGACCTTACATTACCTGTTTCTAAGACTTAACAATAAAACTACAGTAATCAAAATAATGTAATGTTGATGAAAAGATAGATGTGTAGATCAATGGAACAGAAGAGAGAGTCCAGAAACAGACCCACGCATCTGTGGCCAACTGATTTTCAGCAGAGTGCCAAAGCAATTCAATGAAGAAAGGAAAAGTCTTTTCAAAACATGGTACTGGGATAACTGGATATTCATAAGAGAAGAGATGAACATTGATTGACTCTCACCTCACACCATACAAAGACTAAGTTGAAATCTGTCATAGATCTAAATATAAAAGCTGAAACTATAAAGCTCCTTGAAGAAAATATAGGAGCAAATCTTTGCAACTTTGGGGTAGGCAAGGATTATTTTGATAAAAATCATGAACCATGCAAAAAAAATGGGATAATTGGACTTCATCAAAAAACTTTTGCTCTTCAAAACAAAAAGTCAACAAAAGAAAGTAATGTTAACAAAACAAAGTTTTCCATTCCTAGAATGGAAACCTAATCACAATACGTATATCAAGTTAGGATCCAGAATATAAAAAAAACTCTTACAGCTCAATAATGCAGAACTCTTATAAACAATCCAGTTAAGAAGTAAACAGTGCATTTGAACAGACACGTATTGCAAAAACAGTAGTGAAATACTATCTTTGCCCGTGAAATTGGAAAAGTTAATGATAAATCGGCATTGTTGGGCCAGAATGTATTCTCTCATCTCTTACTTCTTCACCTCTGCTGTCTACTTCCTATGTTTGATGAATGTTTGTGAACTATTGGTAATGCTAACATCTGTATCTGTATGATCTAGATTAATTTCTCAGCATTTTTTGGCCCTCAATTGCTCATGTCCTTGTCTTAGAGCTGTGCTGTCCTCTATGGTAGCCACTAGCCACACGTGGCTATTTAAATTTCAATTAGGTAAAATTAAATAAAATTAAAATTTCAGTCCCTCAGTTATACTGACCTCATTTTAAAAGCTCATTAGCTACATGTGGCTACCCTATTGGACAGTACAGATTATAAATATTTCTATCATAGCAGAAAGTTCTGCTTGACAGCATTGTCTTAGCGTCTGTGTACTCTGTCCTGAATTTTTTAGGTTTTCTGTAGCTCTTACTGACTTTCTTGAACTCTATTAAATTATAATTCATGCCATTTTCCATCTTGTACCTAAGAAAGCTGGCCACATCATAAGCCTCCCCTTTATCAGAGTGTGTGTCATCGCGATGACATCTTATCATGGTGAATAAGCAAAAACAAAGTATTGAATGAGAGCCATTTGTGATGGTATTATAAATATTATATATCCTATAAAAGCATTTATATTGTATTTCATTCTTTTAAAGGGAACACTGAGTGTCATATATCATTCTTCTATATATGTTAGTAATGTCATGTTTTAGGTGAATGAAAAAATAATTTGTCCCCTGAAATCTAGATAAAAAGATTTTGTTTGGGTTTCTATAATTACTACTGATAAGTTTGTCTAATTAGTCTAGATCATTTGCTGAAGTTGCTTAAAATGGAAAACTATATTATAGTTAATGAAGTTTAATATGAACTAGTCATTAAGATTTCTTAGATAATAATATTGTACTGGGGAACCTGAATTGACTTAAGTAGTTATGCAATGACTATTGATGTTTCTTATGTTTATATCATGCTTTCCCAATCAGACTACAAGCTTCTGGAGAGCAGGAGCCGTATCTTTATGATTTTTCCTATTTTATACAGCACTTAGCTCAGTGACTTGTTCTTAGTAAGTTCTTGCTACAGATTTATTGATTTGCTTTATTTTCTTCTATTGCTTATTGTGCAGGACAGAACTTACAAAAAGTGTGGTGCTCCCTGAATTAATAGAACTCTCTAGGGATGAAGGCAGCAGTGTGCGGCTTGCAGCTTTTGAAACTTTGGTTAATCTGCTTGACATATTTGATACAGGTAAGTCTTCATGTGGACACATCTTTGCTTCTGAAAGCAGTGTTTTCCCTTATGTTTTGTATCACTAATAAGGAGTAAAGGTAGATGCAGGCCTGAATTTCTTATGTTAAGCTATAGGATGAATGTTAAGCCTCCCTTCTGTTCTTTCTTTTTTCTGGTCCTTTCTCTTTTGGTGCCTTCTCTGCTGCCACTTTTACCCTCATGTCCCCAGTGCTGCTACGTATTCCACACTTCTCCCTTTTCTTTCATCAACATTTAACTGACCTGTGTGTAGGCCTAAGAATTTGGCTTGGTAATTAGACTTTAACTTGCTCAACCAATTGACCCTAAGATAGATCTTGACTAAAACAATGTCTAAATTAATTTCCTCTCTTTAATATTTTAATGCTAGAAATCTCATGGCCACGAGAAGAGAAATTTGAGATGAGGTATTTGAGTGGGAATGGGTAAGGAGGTATTTCTTAGTGTTGTGCAAATCAAATCACAAAGACAATTCACTGCCCTACTGAGTGTATGACTACATTCTTGACCTATGTTGGACATTAGTTTATCAGTAAACGTTAACCGTATTGATAGAGTGAAATTTGGAAGGTAAATGTCAAGTACTCAGGTGCAAAACTCTATTGTGTACTAATAGGATTACATTTACTTGGATTTAACATTTTAACTGAACTAGGAGAGCCTCTTAAAGATTATTGCAATGTGGACAGTAATTATGTAGGGTTGTTACAGAATAATCATTTAGGCTATAGGATGAGCCAGAGGACTGAAAACTGCAATACCTGATGAACGAACGAATGAATGAATCTCCTTGTCCTAATAATGGAGCACCCCCAGGCATCCAAACTAGAAACCTTGTTGTCATCTCTACCGTCTTCCCCTTCAGCCGCACTTGCCGTTACTTGTCGTACCCAGTTCTTTCATACCTCTAACCTTTCCGTGTTCTCTTTCCTCTCCCTATGTTTTCTCCCTGCCCTCTATTTTTCTGCGAGCCAGCTTGTCCTTCACTGTCCAGTTCAAGTGCAGTTTCCTCTCTGACATCTTCCCAAATCCCTTATACCAGAATTGGCAAACAATGCCCTATAGGCCAGGTCCCACTGCCACCTGTTTTTGTAAATAAAGCTTATTGGAACATAGCTATGCCCGCTTGTTTCTGTATTGTCTGTAGCTGTTTTTATACTACAGTAACGGAGTTGAGTACTTGGTGACAGATAAACTGCAAAGCCTAGAACATTTACAAAAAAAGTTTGCAGACCCCTGCCTTATACCAACTATTAAAATAGTGATCACATTGTCTTATGATATTTTTTGTGTTTGGCTTCTTTGCTGGTCTGTTTCTCAAGTTCAGAGACCATTTATTATTCATGTTTCTGCTTCTACTTAATATAATGCTTGTTCTGTAAGAAATTCAATAAATGTTTGTTGAATGAACATCATTTAGTTAAAACAGATGTGGTAGTGAAATATGATGATGATAATAGTAATAACAATATACTAATAAGCCTGTTACAGCATTTTACTTAGTATTGTCAGACCCTTAATAAAATAGTGATTCGTTTCTGAAAGTTTAAGAGAACTATGGGAAATTCAGAGCGTATTTACAATCAAGAATTAAATATTGCTAATATATCAGCCTAAGCAGACATACTCAAAAAATCAATTAACTTTTTAAAGAAGAGCCATCTAAGAAGTAAAAGTGAGGAAATTCCATATACAGAACATATTATAAGCTCATTTAATTTCTATCAAAAATGAAATGATATAATGGGTTTAAGCCATAGCGTGGTATGAGATATATGCAAAAGAGAGTAAGAAACGTTTCTGTTTCTGCCACTCATCTATTTATATTAGTGGTATTAGGATTCTTTCAGTTATTCAGACTCAAAACCTCAATCATCTTAGCTTTTTAATTTGTACTCACTCTTTATATTCTATCCCCTGTGGCCTGCAGTGTAACGTCTAAACCCCTCAGCCTGGCTTTAAAGTTTTTGATAATTTCAACTCTCCTCTCACCCCTTCTTCACCACACACCTTCCAACATCGTTGTTTTGAGGTGTTTTCTATTACTATTGGCTAATAGTAATTTTTCTTTCTGGAATTTGTGTTATCTGTGTTAATTTCCACATGTGCAGTGTGAGCAACTAGATCTAAAGTATGTTTTGTTTTGTTTTGTTTTGTTTTCCAGATGACAGAAGTCAAACTATACTTCCCTTAGTGAAATCATTTTGTGAAAAATCTTTCAAAGCAGATGAATCAATTCTTATTTCCTTATCTTTCCATTTAGGAAAACTATGCCACGGACTATATGGTATGATATATCCTAAGAATTTCAAGATTATAGGTAGATTTTCCCTTTTTCTTCTACCTTAGCCACTAAAATTCAGCTCTTCAGTTGTAAAACCTATCCTTTTACGTGTGTAAAATCTTAAGAGATCTTAGAATTTTGGTAGCATAATTTAGAACACATTTAGGAATGACTTTTTCCCTGGTAGAATCTGTTTGAAAGAACAATGACAGAGTGAAGTAGGCATAGCCCTTTAAATTTCTGAAGATTTCGTATTTATGTATTAGTTGGTATATGATAATAGAAGCTTGGAATGTTAACTGTTGGTGCCTAGTAAGTATACCCTTATTAACCATTTGTTGAAAAATTAATATGTCATGTGAGAACTTCAGCTTGGAATGTAAAATAATACCCATGACTCTTGGCATTTAGAACATATTACTCAGTTCTTAGCTTACTATAATAATGTAAGCATCAATTAAGTTATAACCATCTAGCACAGTAAAACATTTTTTATGTGGATTGTAGACTTGTAATGGGTGGTTGAAAAAATGTATTGCAGTACGTAATGAGTTCCTAACTTCCTAAGATAATGAATGTGGAACCAGTCCATTGATCAAAACTATTTTGAGTTTACTTTGCCATCTTTCCGATTCAATTTTTAAGCTCCTTCTCTGCAGACACATATGCATGTCTTTTCTGCAGGCAATTTTAGAATATTTACCATGAGTAAATGGCAATAATGGCCACAGTATTATTATTGTAGTGACTTATTAGTGGTCTACAGCATGATACATGCTGCAGAAATTAATGCAGGCATAATTCCTGCATTGCATAGTTTAGACTATTGAAATTAAAATATTGTTAAAATTAACATAAGGTAAAAGAGTAGACCCATTAGATTTCTTCATAATAGTTACTCTTTCCTCATTGTTGCTTTTATTTATGATCTCTAACCATTTATTTAAATATTTGGTTCCACTTGTGTTTTTATTGTACTTTGCTTTTCTCTTTTTAATTTTAGTTTTCAATTAAAATGTTGAGCAAATGTTTTACGTTTGTTTTAGGAATTTTTACTCCAGATCAACACTTGAGATTTTTGGAGTTTTATAAAAAACTTTGTACATTGGGCTTGCAAGAAGAAAATGGACACAATGAAAACCAGATTCCACCCCAAATCCTAGAGCAGGAGAAGAAATATATTTCAGTACGGAAGAACTGTGCTTATAACTTTCCGGTAATAAATTATATATTTGTATCGACTAATTTTGATTGTAACTTAAAAATCTGTGAATTGATAGCATTAAGAAATATTGCCATATTTGACACTTGCTGCTTAGCATTACATCTGGTATAAATAGGAGGTACCAAGTAAATATTGGTGTAATTTATATTCATCTCTATGTATAAATTGGATTTATATGCATGCTTTTGGATCTTTCAGATATGATTTCTAACTAAATTATGATTCAGAGGACATGATTTCAATTTAAGTGAAATGATTATAGTTTTGGGTATTGATGCATGTTTTTCTCTCCTTCCCCTTCATCATCTCCCTTCCACCTCCACCAGGCCATGACTGTTTTTGTTGATCCTAAAAACTTCCACATGGAACTCTATTCTACATTCTTCTGCCTTTGTCATGACCCTGAAGTACCAGTCAGATACACTATTGCTATTTGCTTTTATGAAGTAAGTCTGAAGAAGTGATACCGCTTTACACTTGTTGTTAATTCTACCTATGTATACTGGATGATTTTTTGGTATTTTGTACACTTCTGTTTCCAGATTTATTGTAAAATATAGGCTCCATATCTCTTTCATATTCTAGTCCTAAGTCTTATTTCAGAATTCCTCTAATTCTCTTTTTCGAATGTTTACAAAATTCAAATACATAAATATATTAATTAATTTATCATTTATTAATACATCCATTCAATATATCTATACTGAGGGCTTACTTTAAGCCAGACATTGTGGTGTGGATGTGGGTGTTGCAGATTTGGAAGTAAAATCAGTTTTTACATGCTTTGTAATATTTATATTTAACTTTGCACCTATACTTAAGAACTTAAGAACAAATGGAAGATTGAGAGACAGGTTATTTAAATTGGTTATTTTTACTGCAAATCGTGTTTCATGAGCATAGTTTTTATTTATTTATTTATTTTTTAAATAGAGTTGCATTTCTTTCTTTCTTTTTTTTTTTGTGAGGAAGATCAGCCCTGAGCTAACATCCATGCCAATCCTCCTCTTTTTGCTGAGAATGACCAGCCCTGAGCTAACAGCTATTGCCAATCCTCCTCCTTTTTTTCCCCAAAGCCCCAGTGGATAGTTGTATGTTATAGTTGCACATCCTTCTAGCTGCTGTATGTGGGACGCGGCCTCAGCATGGCCAGACAAGCGGTGCGTCGGTGCGCGCCCAGGATCCGAACCCGGGCCGCCAGCAGCAGAGCGCGCGCACTTAACCGCTAAGCCACGGGGCCGGCTCCGAGCATAGCTTTTAGATTCAGCTATTACAACAACTCTCCGTAATCTAAGAGCAAAAGTGAATTTAAACTTTTGTGGAGAATGTAATTAGTTTTTTAACCCTTGAGGTTGAAATTTGGGGCATGTTTCTTGAATGATTCCAGTTAAGTATGTGTATGCTATAGTTGCAGTAAAATATATAAACTATAATTTGTCAACTTCAAAACTGTCACATAAAAATTTCTTTATAAGTGACATAAAATATTTTCTTTCTTTGTAAGAGGTATGATAAATATTCTTATTCTCAGTGAGCATAATTCATCCCCTTCTTTGCACTGTGTTCCTACGTCAAAGCATTGTTAGATTAGCTACAGTGTGCAAGATATCCATAGCATCATTATAAATGTTCCTTAAGATTCTTCTGGCTGTTGGGTGATAGTCATTGCTTCTTTTGAATAACATTTTTTTTCTGGTATGAATGAAATAAATGTTCATTGTGCAAAATCTAGGAAATATTCCCTTTTAATGGTATAATTAATTAAAATAATTGCAATGTTGCACAACTAAGTCATCTTGGTAAATACAAGTATAGAAATATGCTTTTGGAGGAGGAGAGAGGACAGAGGGTGCTGGCCAGCTGAGTGAAATATTCGTCTCTAATGTGCATTAAGTGGGCGTGTAGGCTTGGTTACCATGCATGCTTGTATTTGTCTAGATCAGTGGTCTCCAGCGATGGTTGCATGAGATTAGAGTCTGAGTATGCGATATTTATGCAATATGAGAGTTTCTATTTATGTTTATTTTTATCTCATCCCTTTAATATTTCATTTTAATTTATGTTTCATAGTGGACATAATATGTTAGCACCATAAAAATAAACATATTGAAATATGTATACAAAAATATTTCACTGATGGGAATGAGTTTGGAAATCATTGGTCAAGCTACTTACTTACTGGCTGGCTAGTTTCCATATTCTCACAATCATATTATGTAGGTAGGCTAATAATGATACTCCATAAAATGGTTAGTCTAGGTTTAGCCTTTTAAACTATGAAAATCCACTGATGAATTTAAATTTTCCTAACAGCGTTAATGCTAGATTTTGATAATTACTTTAGTATGTTCTGACTTGATTCTTGTTTTTCAGAAAAATATTTTGAAAATATTTTCAACAAGTCAAAAACACCCTGTAGAACAAAGGTTTTTAAAACATTTTCTTTATCCAGGAACACTTTTTTCAAATAAAACCTTATGCAGAAGCCCAGTTAGTTTAAAAAAAAAAAAAGAAAAAGAGTGAATTAGAAACTGGTGAATCTACCATTGTGTTTGTCTGGAGGGAAAAAAAAACCCTGTTCACAAAGGAGCTGGATTAGTCTAGACTCTCCCAACTCCTTTCATGCTGATTGAAGTCTTTGATGGGCAAAGTCTTCAGTGTTTTGCTTGTGTAGGAATTCTCCCTATCCATGTGTCACTATGGACCTTCCATAGCACTTGCCCTTTTGGGAATCTCTGAATTGGGATGAATGCTTCTATGCTTGGGATATCCTGAAAGACCCTGTTGGCTGCTCTAAGCCTTTAAAATGTGAACTAGAGGCATCCATTATTGCTTGTGATATGAAAGTTATGACTGATAAATCCATTCTACACTTGCCACCCCGTGTATCCACACACTCCAGTATGTTATGAAGCAGACTAAAAAGCTGGTAATGTATGCAATGAATTTTTCTAGAAATTTAATTTTATATGCATATTGTAACCCAGTCTTGTTTTAGAAGAAGTATCTAACAAGGATGTGTTTTAAAAATTATTATTATAACCTTTGTATGTCTAGTAGTCTCAAATCTGAGAGACTTTATTGCTACATTTTAGGTGTCCAAACTTCTGAATTCTGGAGTATATTTAATACATAAAGAACTAATAACATTATTACAAGACGAATCGCTGGAGGTAAGGTCTTCTTGCTTTTTGGTTTTTAATTCTTTTATATAAAGTCCGAATACATCAATGCCTTTTTTTCCCCTCCTTCTTGGGAATTGCACGAACTCTTTCATCTGACTAGCCCCAGAAGCTTCAAGTCAATGTACCACTGTATCACAGACTGGAAATTTGGAAGATCTTTAAAAAGTATTAGGTTTTAAAGTATATATGTATATTTGTTTGTTAAGGAAAGTTTTGGAAATGCCAAAAAGTAGATAGACACAAGAGTACTTTTAGTTCCAATCACTGTTAATATTTTGTTTTATTTTTCATTTTCTATTTTTTCTATATAAAAGTTTTTATTTTACACAATTGTACTCATATGTTATGTCACATTTTATATCTTTTTTTTTCCCTCTTAGCATTGTTTGGGGAGTATACTTGTGAAGGCTTTGTAATACTTTATTTTGATACTATATTTAGTGTATCCTATTCACCTAAATGACTACTAGCTTGCCGAAGCTCAACTCATCAACGTTGAGACATCACCAAGCCTGTTACCTGACTTAAACTGCCTTTCAGAAGTTGGGAGGCAGTTTTTGAGCGTGTTTGTTGTGTAGAAGTAGCTGTCTCAGATCTAGACTACTGAACGATATCAAGACGCAGATGGGGCTGGCCTCGTGGCCAAGTGGTTCAAGTTCCATGCGCTGCTCCACTTCAGCGGCCTGGGTTTGTGGGTTCGGATCCTGGGTGCAGACCTGCTCCACGCGCCAGCCATGCTGTGGAGGCGTCCCACGTACAAAATAGAGGAAGACTGGCACAGATGTTAGCTCAGGGCTAATCTTCCTCAACCAAAAAAAAGAAGCAGATATACTCATCTCTTTTCGAAGGTAGTTTGATCAGGGCAGTTGATCATGTTTCCGAGACTTTCCAGCAAGAAGATGGCAAAGTAAGAAAATAGAAACCTCCAAAATGTTTGGTAAATAACACTATTTCTGTGTAGAAATCAACATGTGAAATAAACTAATCTAAGATTAGTAAAACATAGTAATCACCATAAGAGTAATCAATATCTCTATTAAAAGGTACTAGATGCTCTTATAGATCATCTTCCAGAAATCCTGGAACTTATGTCTACTGGTGGAGAAAGCAGTGTGCAAGAAAACAAGGTAAATGCCACGTATCAAAAAAGTTTCTGAACGTTGTAAGTGTTACCTTACTCTGCAGCGTTGTTGTGAGGAATCAATGAAGGAATGCGTGGAAAACATTTGAAGTAGTGTTTGCCGCTTATTGGGTGCTCGATAAATGTCTGTCAGAGTTTGAACAGCTTGAATTTCCTCTGCAATTCTTATACTACCATGATTCTTGCTTATTGTCCTTGGAGTTTACATTCATTTTCAGTTTTGATGAGCATTAATTGTTGTTTCAAGAATAGCAACTGGTGAGGACAAAAGGATAGGAATTTAGAAGGTCAAAGTTTGCTGACAGTGAAATAGAATACATTTTGCTTTAATTAGAAAGGTTGTGAGTCCCAGTGTCTATTTCCAAATTTTGTTTCCAGTAACCATAAATTTTACTCGTGGATTTTTAAAGAGTATTTGATTTCACCAGATAATTATCTCTGTGACAACTGAGATGCTTCCTAAGTTCTGAAATGAGCAAGAGTATTCCGCTCCCCAATGTATTGTAAGACTGAATAATTTGACTGAATGCTGCAATTGATTTATTTAATTATCATTGATTCTTTTGATGTGATTTCTTTTTCAGTTATCATCTCTGCCTGATTTGATTCCAGCACTCACAGCCGCCGAACAGCGAGCTGCAGCCTCTTTAAAATGGAGAACTCATGAGAAACTACTACAGAAATATGCCTGTCTGCCACAGATCATATCAAGTGATCAGATTTACTATCGTTTCTTACAAAGAATGTTCACAATCATGATGACAAATGTGAGCCCAACACTTTTTATCTTATTGTACTTTTGAACTTGCAGCTGATGTTGGAGTTACCAAATTCTTCACAGTCTCGAAATAGTACAACAAACTGAGTTTGTTCCATTCTGCCTGGAAGGATGTTCTCTTCCCAGGTCCCTGAGGAGGGAACTCAGTTTTCCCATTGCTTCTGCACTTTGCTCACCTTCTACCTAGCTGGAGAGAGGAGTGAACAGGTGGTACCTTTGTTTATATACTGCCAGGGAGAGGGTAAATAGACTCACTTCAGACTTGACACAGTTCTCCTCCAGAGGAAGGTTGTCAGGGTCGGTGGTCTCCACTGCAGAGTACCTCCTGCTCTGACATAGACCTTTTATATATCCCAGCCTCAGTCCTACCTCAACTATGCTGTTTTGTCAAGGCATCCCTTAAGCCCCTTAATATTAGTTTGTTACTTTTTCTTTTATACTACCTAAAGAGTGGCTATGTAAGAGATAAAGTTACACCAAAGCATGGATGCCCTACTATGGATGCTCTTAAACTAGAGTCAAAAGCAGGGGGTGAGTTGGTGGGGGGGGGGGAGTTGTACTCAACCTTCACCATACAGTAAGTTGTCTACCTTTTTCATAAAAATTTCCGGAGAGGATTATTTAACCCACAGTTCGTTGTACATTTAAAATGACATCTTATTACTGTTTGGTGAAGTATAAAAAAATTCCGCATAATGTGTATGTTTTAGAAACTGTTAAAAAAGTACTCTAAATTTTCATTCTTAATAGAAGGGAGATAATGAAATCTGGTAGCCATCTCAAAAACCCAAAGTCAGTTTTAGCTTCAAAGATTAGAAAGAGAAAAAATGATATTATTGGTGTCATTTACAACTTAAGTAAAAAAAGAATAGGTATGTAAAAAGAGAAGTGATTTACAACACAGAATGTGAACAAAACACTTTTAAACCTGAGAGATTTATTTTATGTTTTCTTTTACAAGGAGGTAATTCCATACTTAAAAGGAGATACTTGATATTATAACACATTTTCAATGATCAAAGAAGACACGTGTATTCTGTTGCAACATTCTCTGGAGAAAAGAAAGATTTATATACTTGGTTCCATACCCAATGGTCATAATATTCATTCAGTCATTTAACAAAATTTACTGAGTGCTTAGTACTTGCCAAGCACTGTTCCAGAGGCCAGGAATACCATAGTGAATGAAAGAGACAGAGGACCTCTTCTCATAGAACCTTACATTCACTGGGGACAGGCAGTAAACAAACATACATATGTAGTGTGTCAGGGATAAGAAGTGCAATGAAGCAGAGTAGAGGGGAAGAAAGTGATGGAGGATAGTAGGATGCTATTGTGGATATCGTGGTCAGGAAAAAGTCCTCGCTGATCAAGTATGCTTTGTGCAGAGGCTTGGACAAAGTAGAGGAATGACCATGTGGACATCTGAAGGACGAGTGGTCCAGGCAAAGGGAGTAGTGAATGAAAGGCATGATACGGGGTGTGTTTGGTTGGGTGTGTAAGGAACAGCAGGGAAGCCAGTGTGGCGAGTGGTAGAGAGAGAGGAGGCTAGAGAGGTAGCTGGGTCCACAGCACACAGGCGCTTGAAGGCCGTGATGTAGGATCTAGACTAGTCTCTGATAGAGGGGAAATCTTTGGAAGGGTTTGAGGAGAGGAATGACATAAGCTAACTTTTTTTTTTCCTACTTTTGTTATGAAAAAATTTTAAAGATACAGACAGGCAGGGAAAATGTAATGAACTCTCATATACCCATCACCTAGATGTAATGATTGTTAACATTTTGCCATATTTTTCTTTCTATTTTGTTGTGCTGAAGAATTTTCAGTTATAGATATCATTACATTTTATCTCTAAAAATTTCAATATTCGGCTCTATACAAGGACATTCTCCTATATAATCACAATACAATTTTATGTTTAACAAAATGAATAATTATTCTTTAATACCATTTAATATCCAGTCTATATTAAAGTTTTACTAGTTATCCCCCAAATGTATTTTACAGTAGTTGTTTTATTCCATGTAGGATCCAATTAAGATCATATGTTGCCTTTAATTGTGACATCTCTTAATTCTCTTTTAATCCACGACAGATTCCCTCTTCCCCCTTTCCTCACTTTTTTATGACGTTGAATTTTGGAACAGACTTAAGTCAGCTGTCTGGAATATTGCAACTCTGCATTTGTCAGACTGCTTCTTCATGGTGTTAACAGGTTCATCAAGTCTCTTGTAAACTGGAAGTTAGATCGAGGGGCTTGCTGAGTTGTAGGTTAAACATTTGGCAAGAGTACTTCATAAATGCTGCTGTATATTTTATATTGCATCATATCTGGATGGTTGTCACTCCGTAAATGAGCTAAGAGTTGGTTGTGCAGGTGGTGACAGCTCCGCTAGTCCACTGCAAAATTATGTTTTCTCCCTTGTGATCTGCAATGTAATTTGAAGCTGACGCTTCAACACTCTGAAGACCAGTTTCCCGTCAACCTTTTACCTGTGAGTTTTTGCATCCATTGATGATCCTTGCCTGAATCAGTTATTTCATTAGAACTTGCAAAAGAGTGATTTTAAAAAATTCTCTCATTTCTTCTACATTTTTGATGGCATTCTTCTGTGAAGAAATGCTTTTCTTCATCCACTTGGGCTGTTTGATTACCCTGAAATACATTTCCTAGTGTAAAGACAGGATAAATTCTTAATTCTTTCCCTCCATCAATTTTTGGAGCTAGGAGTTGGTGCAGTAGCCACTTCCAGTGGTGACAAATGAATATTGTTTTGGTTTTCTCTCTTTTTAGACTCATTTTTTTAATATTAAATAATGTTTTAATCAATTGCAGTCATTATTTGTGTGCTCTAATTGTCACAGCTTGAAGCTGCCTTTTATATGCTTTTGATATGATTACAATTTATCTTTGATTTCTGGCCCAAAAGGTAACTTACCTTGTATAATATAATATACTATGAGGTAGAAAATATACATATTTTTATATTACTAGTATATATGCATTTGAAATTCTATTAGTATACACACAATGAAAGAAAGGAGTAACATGCTTTTATTTAGTTCGTTTATCTAAAATTCATTTTTCTTAATTCCGCTGGTATTTCTGTTTATGTACATTTCTTAAATTTTCTGTTCTAATTTGTAGTAAATATTCTCTTTTTACATTCAACAGATTAAAAACATCACACAGAGTAGTACCCAATAGAATAAAAATAGCTTGTATAAAATGTGAGACGAGATAGCAGGCAATACTCTCTCAGCAAGGTTAAGTTGTATTCTGCTTAAATTTCAAGGATCCTCACTATAACAGTCTGAATCTTCAAGAATTGAATATTATGATATTTATATGTAAGTCAAGATGGTGAACGTAAATTTACACTGGACACAGTATACCTGGTTGAGAGATTTTTGTCTAATAAATAGTTTGAGCCCAAACCAGGTACAGATGGATGGTTGAGTTAATTTAGAGTTAAGCTTCTGCCCAGAAATTCAAAGGACAAAGGAGTTTAGAACACTGGTAAGAGTGATTGACATAGTGTCCCTTGGATTCTAAGCTCTATCTGTGTCATGGACCAGGGATCTCAATGAGTGACATTGAAGTTGAAGAGGCAGAAGTAAGCCAGAAGGATGAAGAGTATACCTGGTCGTGGAATCTCTAAATTTATATCTTGAAGTGGCACATTTTTGGTGATGTACTTGACACAGGATATGTTCCTAGCAAATGTTAGTTGAGTAAACGAGTGACGACATCCAGGAAACAGCGAAGGGAGTGGGTACTGGGGAGAATGTTACTAAGATGAGGTGGCAAGGAAATGAGAGTCAAATATAAATCAAATCTGGATGATTAGGAAATGACTGTTCCAAATTAAATTAACTTTGTGATGTGATGTGTTAGTTGATTTGCCTGAGTGATATTAACCTTAAATTAT